CCCCCCCGCCCCGGACAGGACCTGGACCCGGAGCTCCGGGGGCTCGGGGGGGGCGGGGTTGTGGGGACTGGGCCGTTTGTGGCTGCGTCGGGGCTCCGGATCGCCGCCATTCACCAGCAGGGCGTCATTCCCACCCCCGGCCACCAGGGCGGCGCTGTGGCCCCCGGCCTGCAGGGCGTCATTCCCACCCCCGGCCAGCAGGGCGCGCTCCAGCAGGCCCCTGGAGGAGTTTCTGGCGCTCGCCCGGAGCTCGTCGGCCACCGAACGCTGGGGCTGGCTGCTCCTCTCCGGGTGGTAAAACTTGCATTTATGGCCGTAAGTGCACTTCTTTGCTAATTAAAGACACAAAGGTAGAGACGGCCTTTTAACACCTTAGCTAGTTGGCAGTATTCTGATCTAATCATGATCTTTAACCTTATAATGCCAAATGTATCATATTTGATACTGTTTCTGAAATGTTTTGCTTCTGACACCTTTTGCATAATTTAATGGTAAAAACTTTGCTCAAAATCCTATTGTACAAAATCAGATACACCTGATAACAGGGGGCAGAAGACTACACAAAAAATAATCTGGACTTATCGCATAGTAATAAATAATTAATATTAAAAATGTATTTCTGTTTTTTCTTTTTACATATTTTGTTAAAAGGGCAAATAAGGAAGTCAAACCAAAAAAAAGTAATTTTCTGTTTTGTTTTATTCTTGGATCAGGCTTTAAAGGGTTAACCTGATCTGAAGTAGCCATCGTCTTTATCAATCCAAAGCTAAAACTACCTGCTCTGGGTCGTTATTCTCAGTTATGTCTGAATCTTTGCTACACGCTTACCATAAGGACAAGGCTGCTTCCTGTGCTCTGGAAAAACAGGTTTCTTCCTCAAGAAATTCTCCAGACTTGGTCCATGGCGTCCGAGGGGGTCATCAGGTGGCATGAATCTAAAAAAAACAAAACATTTCTTCAATTTCAAATTCATTTTAAAGTTATCCTAAAAGGTGAGGATAATGAAAATTATATCAACAGAAATCCAGATTTGGACACATCTGTGTCCGCCAGCGTTAATGACTGAGTGGGGGCCTCTATTTCAGGCCCTGTCCTAAACATGGCCGCCATCTTGGAAGCGGCCATATTGGATCAAGCTAAAGTTCTTTCTGATGGAAGGTGGTCAAGGAAGAGCAAAAATGTCTCAGAAATTGATCGCTGTAATCAGCTTTGCGACATCTCAAGTGGTTCGAAAGTTATCAGCTCCTATTCGATTAAATTGATATTTTCC